TTTAGGACCACTATTGTTCCTAATTTACATTAATGATATTGACACAAATACATACAGTAAACTGGTTAAATTTGCAGATGTGTGTTTTCAGAATAACTTTCTCTGTAAGTTATTAATTAATACATTGTATGCATATTATATGCCATTGCTCCATTTCATACATATTAACAGAGAGAGCCCCTCACGATTCGTGCGCCAATGTCGTATGGATCATACAGGTACGCCGGCATTGTCTTCGGAGAAATTGTAGTTGGAGGGGCAGTGCTCATATAGGGCTGGCTTACGCAGAAACCTCGTCTTAACCAAGAACAAAAACTGCTCCGAGCAGTTTTGAGACTTAGCTTAAATTGCCATGGCAGCATGCCTCGACTAAAACCTACCCACCTTTTGTAGTACGGGTTAATCGCAAAGTTACAGTACACGACATGTCATCAAGTTACTTACAAAGTTACCCCGATAAGCCAGTAAACCCGCTTCGTAGTACAGGCCACCGATTTAGCACTGATTGAGACAACCTGATTTTGTCAACCCTGCGTTCCCAAATTAACTCCGGGTTAAATCTGATTTGGTTAAACCCCCTTCGTAGTACAGGCCACCGGTCCGTGTAGCATCACCAAACAACAAAATAAGAAGCTGCTCCCCCCGCATGCAAATCCGCTACTGATGACTGGCGGATTCTCGGTGAGATTTGATCGCGGTAACGCCATTCCAGGTTAGATTTAGAGTTGTGTTTTTTTTTTTTTTTTGCATATACTGCAGAATGCTTTCCGGTCATTCCCCATGACCGGCTTAAGCCAGTCTTTAAATGACGGCTTCATATGACTAGCTAATTGCAGAGACTCTCCTAATATCAACACGTTAGATCACCCTGGCTCAACTGAGGTGAAAGGCAGAGAAATGGCGTCAGCGTCACTCTGATAGGCTATTAATTCCGACTCAGGTCCTGCTAGCACGTATATTATATTTTTTAAATACATGAAGTTATAATACATAGAAAATGGGAAACTCATAATATATTGAGGTGGACGATGAAAAATTTACTACCAAGTCAAATTCCATTTACTACCTTTTAATACCTTTCAAGGGCCTTAGTTTGGTTTGATTTCATTTACTACCTTTTACTATCGCGCGGACACCCTGCATACAAGTGAATGGAAGGTCCCCATTTAGATAGGTACGCCAACATGTGTGAGTGTGTGTGTGTGTGTGTGTGTGTGTGTGTGTCCTATAACAGACTGGAATCTTGCCCAAGCTGTTCTGCGGTCTTCTGCCCGGTATTTCCTGGGATAGATTTCTGCTAGTATAGAAACTGAGCCATGGGCAAAAAACAAGTGTGTAGAAGGATGTTTGGATGTATATCTGTTTGGCAAGTTTTTCATTACAACAAGTATCTATTAATGTTACAAGGAAATTCATTTTGAGTTTGTGTTTGTACAGTGGGAGGATGACTGCTGAAGAGTGTCTTCACCACCCCTGGATCAAGGTGAGCATGGGTGGCTGTAGGGAAGGAGAAGCTAGAGGAGGGATTCAGTGGTTAATGAAATCAATACCATACCCATTACTGCTGCTCTTACCTTTTTCATCTGTCTCTCCATAGCCTCTCTCAAGGACACAGCAAAAAATAAGAAAGCGTTCTTCCATCAACATGAAGAACTTCAAGAAATTCAATGCTAAGAGGAAGTGGAAGGTGAGGATAGCCATCACCACATATGACCATTTAAAAAATGAATGAAAAAGAGGTGGCTGTTTTTTATTTTATACAGTGGTACCTCGAAACTCAAACTTAATCCGTTCAGAACTCCAGATCGAATCGAAAGTTCTGATCGAATTTTCACCATAAGAAATAATGGAAAACCAATTAATTGGTTCCTGGCCCCAAAAAATTACACCTTAAATATGTTGTGTGTGTTTGTTTTTTTTTTTTTTAGCATTTAAACACAAAATGAACCGGATAAAACAAGAGCATATACTGTACTAAACATATCTAAGCACATTTATCAAAACAGTAATTTTTAAAGTAAGAAAATAAATGTATCCAAACAATTTGTAAAGTTAAAAAAAACAATTCCTTTATGATAAGAAGGCCTATGATGTCATCTACTTAGATTTCCAAAAGGCTTTTGATGTTGTCCCCCACAAGAGGCTGTCACTTAAACTCAA